TGTAGGGAATATGGGGAATACATTTGTTGCACTATTAAAGTTTTAATTTCTAGCAATCTTTTCTATTAGCTCTAAACACAGTTCTTGCAGAAGACAGGACAGCAATGAGGACTCGAAAGGCTTAAAATCTAATTCCTCTTTAACATGCAGTATTGTATGCTAAACTAATTTCTTTCAGCTTCTCAGAATAGCAGTACTGGGAAATGATATAATCAGTATCAGCACTAAGTTAAGTATGGTGACAGACACCATGTACGCGCCTACGACTCAAATCAAATAGTTATGTATTGTAAAGGCCAACTAAAGGTTGTTTAAGATGAATTCTCTCTCCTAGCCATACTCAACTAAAAGATGTTATTGAGAATATAGAAACATTTAAAATGAAATGGTATTGGTGTTATAGCAAAGTATGAAAAAAAAGAACGATCACGGAAAACCGATTTACCAGTTCAGTTGATACACTCAAGAACGGAAAATGCTGTTATCTCTTCTTCCTTTTTGAAAGAAACTGGAGCTGGATACCGCTGGCCTACCTCTCCTCTGCTGATCTGAAGTCCAATTTTATCACCCCATTAAAGGACTACAGCACTATCAGTCTGGTTCCTTGTATGTTAGACAGTATCAGTAAACTCTTTGTGACTGTCTGCTTGCAACAAGTTGAGCACAGGAAAGATCAGTAATTCAGAAGAATTAGAAAAGGTCTATTAGGAAGCAAGGCATTACTGTAGATGTAGTTTTATGATTCCCAGTGTTAGCATCAAAACTTAAGCATTGCTTCTATTTCCAGAGAAAAAGCCAGCTGAGAAAACACGAATGAGCTATCTAAATACTACATTTCACTGCTGTGAAATAAAGCATACATTTTTAATAGCTATTATCAATTGTTTTCTTCCTCAACACATGTTTAACAACAGGTTGCTTTTGGAGACCCATTAGTGCCTATAAGCCCAACAAGGGATGTTTTGAGAATGCATACCAAAGAAAGGCATTTATGATGCTACGGCCTATTTTCATTCATGGTGGAGCCCACTACACAATTACACGTCTTCAGTAAGTTTATGACATGGGACACAACGACTCAGAAGCATGATTCACTGAAAAGTATTCAAAGACAAGTCCTACCTGAAAATTACGGATGAAGCAGGAAAAGAAGGAAAAAAAAGAGGGAAAGGAAAAAAAACGCCATCAAACTTCTAATTGTACAAGCTCAAAATACAGCAAAGCTAGTTCACAAGTAAACTTGTGTATTGGATCTGCTTACTGATGATTCAGCGTTCAAAGTGATGATTTCTTCATCGTGATCTAGCAGCTTGCAGGCATAAGCAATATTAACAGCTGTTTCTTGCTTGTCTCCAGTCAGAACCCAAATCTGCAACCCAGCTTTGCGCAAGTTTGCAATGGTCTCTGGAACACCATCCTGCAAACGGTCCTCGATGCCAGTTGCACCTAAGTACATAGAGAAATCAAAATATTGCACATTAAATGAACACTGAGGGTTCACCTCAAGTTGTAAGTTTGGATTTTAAAAGAAAAAGTTCCACTTTTATTAGGAAACAGATAAACTACTAATGGTTGCAAGGTTCAGGCACCTTTCGGGGGGTATTGAGAGAGAGAAGAAAGTAGCTGGGTTAATTATCTGCACCAGCAGTCAACAACAAATCCAGAATTCAAAACTTCAGAAGCAATCTGATGCCACTTCTAGTCTCAGAAGTACTCAAGTCTGATGTAACTTGGCTTATTGTCTCTCTGCACTGTAGCTTCACCATTTTTTCTGGATGTTGCTAAGGAAGATATTGTTGCTTCTAGGAGATCATTTCAGTTCTTAAGGGTCTTTGCCTTTCCTCAACTAGAAGAGGCAGGGTCACTAGAGATTTCTCCCTTTTGAAGGGAATGACAGCAGGACTGCAGCTTGGCAGCACACATTAGGTTGCAGACATAAACCTTTTCTTGCCTTGCTGCTGCTCTCTGCTCTTGCAGAAAGACACTGGTTGCCACGTGAGATACAGCAGAGAATAAATCTAAATCCATTGGCCGTGATGTGAGAGTAAAATATGGCTTTTTCACACTTCCAATGTATTCTACCTGTTTATGAGAGACTGAGTACCTTGCCTATGCTTTCATAAATCAAGTGACAGAGAGAAGATTTTCAAATACTGTAGCAAAAGCCACTCAGGACCAAGTTCAGTGTCACCACTGATAACACTTGTGCTCCACTGAGTTTCAGGGAGGCTTCGATGTGAGGAAATGTAAGTCATCATTATTAGAGAATAAGAACATGCCAGATGTGCAAATTACCTGGAGGTGCAGATATACAGATTACCTGGAACAGCAGGGAAAGCAAAGTAATCTTTTATCAGCTATTTGTTATCCCTATGATTGTTCTTTGTAAAAAAATATTTTAGCGACAGAAGTCCACCTGAAGTCTGAGCACCAGTCATGTAGGTGGAAACACTTAGGGCAATGTCAGGAAAGCTATTATTATCCAAACAGTGTTCAAAGGAAAAGATACTCCTTTATCAGACTTACTTTTATGCTCACAACCTAATCACAACTGATCATTGCGAGATACAAACCACAGTATGAGGTTCTTAGGGAATGACTGAACAGGTAGTTTACGTTTGCTAGAGCTCACTTACTTGTCTGGTTAAATTTCACTTTTTCCAGAGACAACAGGCACAGCTATGGTGGATTCTGTCTGATTAGTGTTTGCTGAATTAGTCACCTCATACTGCCCTTTAAATCAGAGCAGGGAAAGGGACACTTCAAGGGCATGGTTCATCTAATCCTAAAGCAGGTAGCTATGGCTGACCAAATGAACTGCACTTTTTGTCTCTCCATTGGTTACATGGGGAGCCTTAGAGCTCTATAGTATACATCGGGAGTTGGGTGAGGTGGATCTTGTCTCCAAGAGACAGACATGTTGGCAATTAGTGAAGGCTTCCTCCAAGAGTGTTATGGCTGTCTCAGTTTCTTTGCCAGAGAAAGCACTTGGATGCTTGGAGTAATAGTGAATATATATACATTTTAGTACCTCAGTGCTTTCAACATCACGTCTCAGTGGAGGAAAAGTGTAACTGAGTTCTCTGAACACATTTTACAGACACTGGTTTTAACTGCATCATTACGAAGTTCTGCAGTCTCACAGAATACACAGGCCCCAAGTGCATGAGCAGAACCTGATGTATATGAGAGCTGATGCCTCTCACAAGTGCAGTTTATGAGCCCTGCTTTACGAGTGTCTCTGGTGCCCCTGGAGTCATGGAAGTTTCTGGTATGCTGAAGGGGCACTAAGCTAACGAAATTCTGTAGACAGTTTGGGTCAAGTTCTCCTCTTCAGAGCCACAGTTCCCATTTATGAAATTGTGTCAAATTTACCCCTGGTATTACTCCACTCATTTCACTAGTCATAAAATGATGGCAGGAGCAAGGAAAACAGGGTATGTCTGTTATGTTAATTATATCCCATTCCTTTGTGGTGCTGCACATGACAGCCATGACAAAGTCCAAAAGAAGCCAATTTCTGTACTGTCAGGAACCATTTATGGGAAAGAATGGATTTCATAGCCAGGCTTTCAGAATTTTTAACACATTCTAATTTCATGTCCATCTCTTATTTCATTACCTAGCAGATGCAGATTCTTCTCTATCCGCAGCGCTGACTGAAACAGAAGTTCTTCACGATTTTCAATAGAGGATTCTGCTTCTAAATGACTTTTTAACCAACAGGCATACTCTTCCTTGCTGAGAATCTATTAAAAAGAGTATGTGAGGGCACAGTCAGTGTGATGCAGAGGTATTCACACTTTACAGAATAAAATTAAGAAGATGTTATGAATCAAGAACAATAAATTAATAAATGCCTTCAGTAATCTTTGTCAAGACTCCTTAAAAGCAAAGCAAGAGTCTACATTTCCTTACCCTTTTTGCAATACAGAGAGTCCGCAGCCCGTCCACGGCGTACAGATTAAGGTAATTCTGCATTTTGCTTTGGATTTTTTTTTGATGTTTGCCCCGAGGGTCATCTAGGTAAGAATAAAAAAAGAAATTACTGATTGAAAAATAACCGCAGCTGGATGGCCTCAGAGAATAAAAACTTGTATACAGTACTCACTGTACTGTCACTTTATAACTGATACTTTTAAAGAGCTGCTGATGTCTCCTGGGAAACTCCAATAAAACATTCCGCTTAAAAAAAAATATCTTTTATTTTTGTTCTGTCTTTTCTGTCCTTTCTCTTCAAAAGTCATTGTGCATGTGTGTCAGAAAGAGCTTTCTCTTATTCCTTAAGTAAGTATTTGTTTGGCTTGAATACTTAAAGAAATCATGATAATCTTCACAGCAAACAATAATGTCAGAAAGGGAAGAAAGTTTTCAAATACACTACTAGAAAATGCTTCTCCACATCTCATCATATGCAGAAAAATTACACTTAAAAATAGCACTTAGGTCTCCCCCAAGGTTAATATCACAAAAGAAACAGAAACAGTGCTCTGTTTTGTACCTAAGTGTATGAATGTATTTCTGTTACTGCTGTACTGCTACAATCTATTGGACTGAGACAATGTGAGAAGTTCTGGATATGACTGTGATTTCATTCAGAAAAGATCTGCCCTAGTGTAGGCCTCACAGCCAGCTTCTACCTTGAATGCAGCAGCACAACTCCCACTTAGCTTTACTCTTCACTTAAAGCCACATGTAGGAATTCCAAATCAGGACTAAGCATCTGCTCCTTTTCTCTCTTCAGCAGGGATTGGTTCAGTGTGCTCACAGTGTGATCAAAAAAGAGTAATGAATCTGATAGTAACGCATTTTGTTCCATCTCATTACCTGAAATGTCTTCAAAAGTTGAAAACAGGTGATATGCATCTTTTTTATCATCTAGGATCAAGACAGGTTCATGCAAAATGTACTTTACTAGCAATCTTAAACAATACAGATTGCTACAGATGTTAGAACTAAAGTCAAAGTACACAGCTCTAAGTTTTTAGATTGGAGCCACTGAGTGAGAATGACCAGTACCTTATGGCAGGTTTTCCTTTTCCCTGATGTCATATAATTTTCTTTTTCTAAAGTCTGCATGCTTTTTGGGGGGGTGTAGAATAATTTCAGGGTTATAATTTTGCAATTAGAGCTATTCCTTAATGCAATATTTAGATTGCCCAGAGAGGGTGTGGATGTCCCTTCCCTGGAGGAGTTTAAGGCCAGGTTGGATGAGGCCTTGAGCAACCTGGTCTAGTTGAGAGACGTCCCTGCCCATGGCAGGGAGGTAGGATTAGATGACTTCTAGGGTCCCTTCCAACCTAAGCCATTCTATGATTCTATGATTTGTGTTTCTGGTACTTGCACAGTAACCAGTCACAGAGTCAGGGGAACTCCACTCATCACCACAAGTCTGAGCACCTGAAGAGACCTACTACATATGTCTCAGTTTACCACTGAGAGGTGGATGTGCTCACCTCTCTCAGCTGAACCTACTAAGGATCTACGAGCATTATATCCTTATATTAAGCACATAATACAGGTATCTAAACTAGATTACATAAATATCTTACTGGTTATACTTTTTGGTGTCCATTTTCCCAGTGTGCATTCATGCCCAATCTGATCTTGCTGTGTGTGACTATGTGTATACACGTCCATCTGTCTGACCAGAGACTTACACAGCACTCAGTGCTCTCCTATTTATACAGCACTACATGTCTAACCAGGTGTTCAGAGGCTCCTGCACAAACACAAACAAGTACTGATGTTGTAGGAAAGAAGGAGCTGGGAGCTTGGGACCAATACTCTAGCTTTTGTTTTATCAGCACATTTTGCTCACTGCATGGCTATTTTCTCACCTTTAAAGACTGTCCTGTCCCCTCTAAGACTGCAAAGCTGGGTGCATACATACCCAGCTGTTCCTAAGGGTCTCCATGTAGACTGTGGTATTTCATGCATATCTTCATTTCAGTTCTACTTTTGATTAAGGTTATAGGTAAATACTGGTAGGAATATCCTGGTGAGCCTGTCCATCTATCTATTAATGCTGCCTATGCTATCACTATTGATTTTCTTGAAGGACCAATGCACATATATTACTCTGGAAAAACACCCCTAGAAATATTATTTGCAACTGAAAAGCCCTTTCTTGCCCTATAGCTTGTGGCTCTGACACATCACCACCAGGTTCCCTCAGAAGCTATTAACACAGCTCACAATTAGGCATATACTCAACTGGAAGCCTAATACAGTTTCATCTGGCTTTTTTATTTGTGCATGATAATCTTCTTGCAATATTTTACTTGGTCGTGTAATATAAGTTTGGGTTTTTTTTCTGGGAGAAGTACTGCAGCAAACCTTGGAGGTTTCTTATATTAATAAATGGACTTTTTTAACTTTAGATGAAATGGGCAAGGATTCTTCCTCATTTATTGCGATACATTACTGTTCTATATTCTACTATTCAGATTTTTTGCATATCACAAATGAAATTCTTATGGGAGTGGCTATTTCAGTCACTCACTGATTTCAAATGATGCAAACTTGAATAGGTGTTCAAACCCTCTCAGTCTTCTCTTCTCAAGACTAAACAGTCCCAGTTCTCTCAGTCTTTATTCATAGAAGACATGTTCAAATCCCTTAATCATCCTCGTTGCTCTCCATCGGACCGTCTCCAGTAGATCCCTGTCCTTCTTGAACTGGGGAGCCCAAAACTGGATATAGTATTCCAGGTCTCACGGGGGCAGAGTAGAGGGGGAGGAGAACCTCCCTAGACCTGCTGGACACACTTTTCTTAATGCATCCCAGGATACTGCTGGCTCTCCCGACCACAAGGGCACACTGCTGTCCCATGGAGAACTTACTGTCCACTAGGACTCCAAGGTCTTTATGGAGCTGCTTTCCAGCAAGATGACCCCTAATCTTTACTGGTACCTGGTGTTATTCCTTCCTGGATGCAGGACTCTACACTTGTCCTTATAGATCTTCATGAGGTTTACCTTCACCCAGCTCTCTAGGCTGTCTAGATCTTGCAGTATAGCAGCACAGCCTTCAGGTGTGTCAGCTACTCCTCCCAGTTTCACATCATCAGCAAAATTGCTGAGGGCACGGTCTATCACCTCATCCAGGTCATTGATGAAGATATTGAACAAAACTGGACCCAGTACTGATTTCTGGGGTATGCCACTGGTCACAGGCCTCCAACTTGACTCTGTGACACTGACTCTGAACTCTGTTGTTGAGCCAGTTATCAATCGGCCTCATGCCCCATGATTGAAAACCAGCAAATAAGTCTTCTGCAGATGAATGTCAGAGAGCTAGTGGTATTCTGCTTGCTTCATTTCCCTCCATAATGGCAAGCTGCAGAAAGCCAGCCATTGTTTTCTCAATGACTGATGCTCACAGCTCCTGTGTGAGCTGGTATTGACTCCAGCAGTACTCTTCTTATTTATGAACATGGTAACTGTTGAGATAAACTAAAAACAATACACTCCTGGGAATCGTTTCAAGGCTTTGGGAAATATCTGTATGCTATCAGAAAATGTCAGGTTTCACAGTCTCAACTAGATACACAGGCAGGGAAAATGGAGCCAATTCAGAAACTTCTTAAGTTTTGAAGCTTACAGCAATTTCTGATTTTCTGTAAGACACAACTAAAGCTACAACATAAGAGGTTTGTTTCTGATTTTGGGCTGTTCCTCATGTCACAATTTAAAATACCCATCCACCCAAATATGAACCTTTGTGTCTGCTAGGACTCAGTCATGCCACGAGACATTTGAGCTGGAGATTACAGACAGAGTGTTGCCTTGGTCCTTCAGGCCAAGGGCAAAAGTACCACAAAGTCTCAAGATGCATGCTTGACTGGTGTACAATTTACATGTCCCTGAGGCACTCAGACAGCAAGGAATGAGCACTGGGATTAGCTGTCATGTTGATTCACTTATTGGTCAATTCCTTGACACGATAAATGCCTCAATTCTCATAGCATTATATCTCCTCTCACACTCAAGTTCCACCACCACCAAAGAACAGGATGAAACCACCAACAGATCCTGCAATACAGATAAAAGCCACAGCATAAATCTTCTGAGGTCACTCTACCTGGGGAATACCTTTCTGTAATGGTAAAAAGATGCCATTCCCTCAGGAACTGACAACATATCCATTGACATTAGGATACTGCAGGCAGAGACTGCAAATTCAGTCCAGGAGTGAAGCTGCTCAAGAGAAATGCCAAATGCTTTTCAGACAGATCTGCTGAAACGCACAGAATTACTGAAGCCAGCCATGGCTTAGAGGGCTAGAAAGCAAGGGAAACTGCTTATGATGTTCTAGTGTATGCACTTTACACTGCTTGCAAAAGCAAAATATACTAAACCTCATAGTTCAATTTGGGCTAACAAAAAAAAAAAAGAAAGGAAAAAGGCACAATTTCAAAGCTGCCTTCTATTCACTTGCCTGTAAAGATGGTAGAATCGCTGTATTTGCCCAGCTACAGTCTGCTCACTGCCAACACCAACCTTCAGGAACTCTGCTTCCCCTTCTCTGACATACATCACCTTTGGTAATGTTGCTGTTGTTTGTTTTTCTAACTGGCCTTGCTGGTTTTACCTAGGTGGGTCCTAGATCTACCTGCTCTTTGCCTGAAATTTCTTTGATCTGTTGAGTCTGATGTGAACAAACACAGCAGCTTCAAACATAGTCTGTTATATGGTGACAAAATACTTAGGACTTGGAATAAAATAATATTTTCTTTTTAATGCTCAGTTCTCATTCTGAGAACTCATTTCCAAACATTGTTTTCTAGGTATGTTATTAGATATTCTCAGTATTACAAATTCTCTGTTAGCACTTCAGAGGGCAACAAGTTTCTACAGATGCTCTATGTACCTCCATGATACCAGATCTTTACTAGAAAATTATTCATGAATACTTTGTTGTTAGTTAAGGACAAGTTGTTCTTAAATTTTTTGGCTCAGTTTTGATTTATATGGCTGTAAACAGAAAACCAATGCCAAGGCTTTTCTGTATTTCATTA